TTGGGATTTTGGTAGATATATGCGAATAAGTCCACCATTTCACTAAGATGCATCGAAGATGCGATCATATCACAGGACATGAACAAATCGGTGGATTATTTCACACAACGCTGAAATTGGGATTTTGGTAGATATATGCGAATAAGTCCACCATTTCACTAAGATGCATTGATCAAAACTACTCTGACCTGTTTTTACGTACGTTAAGAGGTTTTGTTACTAATTGCTTCAAGCGCCTGACACAAGCACGAGCACAAGCATATAAGAAACGCAAATACAAGACCAAGAGTCCAAACATTGCAATCCTTGTGCTTGCGTTTTTCAGTGTTTGTATGGACTTCGGTTATGTTTTATATGCTTGTGTTTGTGCTCGGGGTCGCAAGTAGACGTAGTAAACCAGGCCTGCAACAGTACGTTTTAAATATGCGTAGCTTCATATTAGCATATGAAAAGCTAATCGAAATGCATGCAAATGTTTGGTGAATATTCATTGATATTCAGAGCCTGAAGTCTATAAATTATCATATCATGACATGAAAAAACCCTTTTTCTCTTTTTTTTTTTTTTTTTTGCAACACAAATTATTTTATTGTCAAAAAAACACGAATTACAAGGTTGGTACTAACACTAATTACAGAATTGACAACAGAAATTATAAAACTGCGACTAGCTCTAGTTACAAAGTTGTAGATAACGCTAATTGTATAATTATCACTAACCCTAAATACAACACTAATTACAAAATTTCACAAGCACTGGTTGTAAGTTGTAGCTATCGATAATGTAGAAGAGCTTTTATATAGCTATAATTATACATTAGGTAGTAAGCAAAAACCCTTTTCTCTTACCTTCTTCTGAATTTGACGCCATATAACTGATTAGAAGGCAAAAATAAAAGAGAAGAAACCAGAGTTCGATGGAGAACGGCTCTCAACAAACCTTTCGAAAGGCGAAAGGCGCACAAAAGCGCCCGCAAAAGCGAGCCCAGTCCAGCCGGCAGTCCAGCCCAGTCCAGGACATCACAGTAATTTGAATTGAAGGTTTATTCTTCATTTGTACGTATGTTACAAAATAATGATGATTATACTTCATTTGGAGAATGTGGTCTGTCGAATCATGTTTCCTAAAATTAAGAGTGTTGTGTTGTTTCTTAGATATAAAAAATAAAAGAAATGCGTTTAGGCTTGATGAATTATTTGTCGTAGAAACAAAATAAAAGCCTCCCACATCAAAGTCGGGAAATATTAAGGCCCAGATCCCTCCCAATCTCATATTACAGCCTTGGCCGGTTAACGTTTCCTGATTGCTGACTGCAACGGTCAGATGAAGTTAAAGAAAGGTTACTTTTTTAATACTTTCAGCCAGGCAGACTTTAAGGCAGATTTCTTTAAAAACAATCGTGGGGGTAAGGTGTTGGAACCAGACAATATTTTAAAGTCTTGGTCAACACTTAACTGAATGACAACATTTCTTTCTTTGCAGGAACAAGTAAGTTAATTATGGAGTGTGGAATCGTATGGGCAAAACTGAAAGGCTATGCCCATTGGCCAGCTAGAGTAAGTTGATTTCTGCATTGATCTCGAGAGCGATTTTATCCCTTGTCAGGAATATCTCCATCTTCTTTCGAATAATCTTCACCCTGAAAAGTAGGGGCTTTGACGTATTCAACTACTGAAATTGGCAAAACATACTAAAGCGAACTAAATGCGATAGTTTTCTAACCTGCCAAGCCTCGTAAGATTCCTAGCCAGGTGATTCCGATCATCAATTTCAATGTGTCAACCACATAAAATACATTTACACAAACTGTTACCCCTAACCCATCAAGTTAATGTTAATAAAATAAATAACTTAGCAAGGATTTGAAGCAAGATAAGAATAATCCCTCAAGCTCTCAAAACAAATATTTTACTCACCTCCAATCCAAAGGGATATCGACTTCCCCAAAGACTAAAGTAATGTGATGAATACAAGAAACCATTCATTATACAGTCCAAACACAGTCTGCTAAACAATCCAAGCTCACTTTGTATTCGCTTGTATTCGCAAGACATAGATGTACTGTTTTGGTTGCAATATCCTCCGTTTTACGTTTTGATATCGACTTGTTCATGCTGTTCACACCATTTATGAAAAGTTACTGAGTGACACTGCTGGGGGTCCTTTGCCATCCGATGACTATGTAATGCGCATGCGTGCAGATCACAGAGTCAAAAATTAATGAATAGGCCTTGTTTGATTTACAATATTCTAACTGGCTCAGAGGTTTTCAGGATAAAATTCTATCACAGTTTTTGTATCCTAATTATCTCTTGGGAATCGAGAGCCTCAACACAACTCGCTTCAAAACTTTTGCAGGACTCATGTAGATTTTCCAGACTCAAAATGCACAGCTTTTAATTTTAATATTTTTTGTTCTTTTAATTAACACTTCTTTCTGATTTAATTTTGCTAGAATTTCCTCAACCCAATTTAGTTTATTTTGCGACAGTTCTTCCTTTGTGTCACTGAATATACCCTTGAATTCACAAATGTCCAGGAATTTCCATGCTGGCCATGACCAACACTTGTCTTTATTGGATTTCGGAAATACACCATCGGAAGAAATGGACAGCTCCCGTGCACAGCAGCTCTTCCCATGTAGAACATGCACTTCATTACCCATGCCCAGTCATTTGCTACAGCCAATAGGTGTATATAAACACAGACTAAAAAAACATTTAGCGACTTAGACTGACCTGCTTATAAGTTGATTTAGACCTCATTAACTAACTTTTTAGACGTCGTTTAAATATTCGGCCAATATGTTCGAACTGGTTTGAGTTTTATTTTAAAGCATGTTGCTGTTCGTGAAATAAAATATTTCAATCATTTCAAAACATTCTGATCTTGTTTGTGTAGTCTGTGCTTCGCACGCACAATATAAAATTAATTGTATATGTAAACATTCATTCGTCTTCAGTTCTGTCATACACGAAACTCTTGGAAAGAAAAATACTTCAGTTATCTATGAAGTTGTAATTCTTGGACTAAAATTAGCTACAGTTAAATTATCAAAAATGGGTTTGCTCTCCTGTTAAAAACATGAAAATGACAGGTAAATCTTAGTTTTTTGTCCCCGTCACGCAACGCTTCCTCACACAGTCGTTCCGATAATAAAATAACATACATGCATATGATAACATCGTCCATCGCGCTGACTAGCTAAGAGGTATTTAAGACTTAAATTAAAAAAATAACTCAACAAACGATGCAAGTCCATTCGCCAACGCCAAGGAAATATGGGAGGTGAGCCAAAAAACACTGTCGAGCGTCTAAATAGATCCATGAATAGAAAAGATGAACATAGCCACTGAAACATTTTATAGTTCAGACGCAAACAAAAGAAAATATCATATAATTCCCAGTGGTACAAAAGAAAATATAGAATGATTCAGATAAATTATATTTTATTCATACACTTGGTATAAAGAAGATACAACATTTAACATACTTAAGTGTGTTCCTAAGTCTTGAAGTCAGCAGCTTGGTTTTTAAAAGTTTTGACAGCTTGAGCCTTGATCAGAAACTTGAATCGATCGAAGAACTTCAAACGTGACTCACTTTTAATATTCTAAATGTCTCCTCTTTGGGCGGTCGAGTATTATTTAGGGTTATTTCTTTCAATTTCGAAACTCCAAAAAGGTGTCTAATTGTAATTGTAGGAGTGAAAAATACCGTGTTGAAAAATAGAAGAGATCCGCGCCAGGACGCCATTTTGTTTACTGATAATGCATAAATTACTGTACTACGCATACATTAAAGTTTACAACAAGTGGCCATCGACCGAGGGATCGAGGGATCGAGCGAGTGAAATTTGTCCGCTATACGCTATAACTTCGTTCATGCAAAGCATTCACTCGTTAAAAACCGTTGAATTAATGAAAGTATAACTTTACCAAGATAAAAACCGACTTTTACCAGAGGATTTTGAGATATTATTGTCTTTTGTACAAAGTCTCTGTGCTTTCGCGAGTTTCTAAAATGGCGTGCGGTAGTGAAGAAAATGTTATCGTTGTTTTCAAGTTTTGTAATGAAATCAATTTATCAAGGCCAATCATTTGTCTGTATTTACTGCGCATATGGTTTATTTTTCAACTCACACATTTCGCTCAAATCCCGAAAAATCTCCAGGGAATTCAAAGATGGCGCGCGCTAAAATCTCTAGTAGCCAATGGGTTAAATATGTTGAAGCTATATTTGGCTGGAAATAGCAAGAAGTACATCCAAGAAAATTATCTGGATAGCTTTTCAAGCTTTGGCTGCTTAAACACCGGGTTAAATAAGCCCTTTGTTCTAGTGGTGTTGTTGTAAAAGGTGTTTCCATTTGCTTATTTATTACGAGGTTTTAGCAGTTTAGTTTATATGTTCCAAAGTATGAAAAGGTTTAACCAGACAGGGGGGGCTAGCAGCGAGGCCTGGGACCTAGTATTCATGATTGCACAATTAAGAAATTTGGCCAAGCAAGACTAAGTACTGGTTTGTTTAAAATAAACATGGTGGACGATGGCGGACATGACGTGCGTTTGTGTTTGTTGAGAAATATTTTGGCGATTCCACGTTCAAACATCTATGGGAACGATTCGGTTGCTGTTTAACTGAACTTTGGTCATTGTGGGACCCCATGGATGAAAATTCCACAGCAAACTCCCATAGAGGTACGTTTCTCGAATGATTGACAGATTTCTTTACTTGTGCGATCATGTATAGCGGAAAAGCAGCAAGATCAAAGGGCGCTGCCTGCCCCCCCTGAACCAGACCATGTAGACATTAATCCTACCTTTTAGCAGTCAAAAGGTCCATCTGAGTGCATGGTTGCATTACTATGTCAGCAAGCAGAAAGCTTAATTGATAGACTATTTCTAGCTTGTTAAAATGTGACCTGACTACTCTCATAAGCTTTTAGCTGATTGGACCAAAACTGTATTTTGTATAGTAAAAAGTGTAAGAATGAAAATTGGAGTCTCCGACAGGAATCAAACCCATGACCTTCCGTACACCGGTCGGATGCTCTAGCCACTGAGCTACAGAGGATCAGCAATGTCAAAAGCGTCATGTGTAGTAATATTTATTTTTGATTTCTTCAAATAGGTTAATTATTGATTTGTATGTCAATTTGAATGTCAATCCTCACGACCACGTGCTCGAGTTAGCTTCGTTAAGATTTTCTCTACTTTATTCCAAATTTTTGTAGCGATCTTAACCACATTTTCATCATGGGTTCCAGGAGATCACAGCACATGTCCTCCTCTCGACATCTGAACGACGATTTTGTCTGGGATTCCTTTCCCACATTGCCAGAAATCGCAGAACCACATATTTCTCCTATGCAAGCAGCGGTATTTCTATTGCGAGCGGCTATTCCACAAATAGATGCAAACCTCAACAGTTCCAGGACTGCCAAGTCTTCCAAAGAGGAACTCTGTTATTCCTGCTCCACCAGCGACGTCATCTAATGACATCACCAGATTATCGCTCCAAAAAGAAACCGAATCACTCCAGATTCAACACGTTCAGTTGGAGCTGCAACTCGCACAACTAAAACTGGGAAACAAGCACTCACAAATAAGGCAATCTGCCAGGCAGGAGTCAGACAAGGCAGGCGACAAGTCCCTCGGTGATCTTAAGGCGCCACACAAGACCGGTCACTCCACAGAAATGGCCACATCTTCGTGCCAGGTGAACCAAAACATTTCAATGAATTGTCTATCACAGAATTTTCCACGGGCTATATCATTATTAACCGGGCAAGGCCTGAGGCCGAGCCCGGGTCATAATTCAGTCAAAGATTTTTTTTTTTTGGTGTCGAGCGCACTTGGGTCCCCACTCGGCCAATGGGTAATTGAAACTCCTGCCTGACTAAAGTTTACAAGCGTATTGAGTTTTACTTGAAGAGTGTATTCCATTTCAAAAATGCGTTTATGAGTTCAAACTTGCAACACAGAAATTGTCAACAGAGGTTACGGCAGAAATAAGATAAAGATGTGCAGGTCATTTCAGGTTGTACGTTGTACTCACAGACGAGAGGATTGTTTACGCCGATCTTCTAATCCATTGCGCAAACTGCAGACTAGCGTGACTACTGTACTTTCTTGAGGTTTTACGCCAAGCAAGAAAGCAGATAAAATTTAAGCACCCGATTTTAATTTAACCCTACGAGAAGACGTTGGACAGTGTTATAGTTGAGCCGCTATCGTTTCGTGCGCTGACCGGGGCACTATTTAAAGCTAATAGCCTTGACCAAGCAAGTAGAGTTTCCATTTTCAAAGACCCGTATGTGATTTTTAACCACATAAATTTTGAACAGACTTTTCGAATGTCCATGTTACGAAAAAGATCAGAAACTACAATAGATATCACCCTGCTAAAGTTAGTTTTGAATATCACGCAAACCTCGGACCAAGGTCTGTTGTCCAGATGTTTTGATGACTTTAGCGTGACTGGCGTGTAGCAAGAAAGCAGAATTGTTGAGCAAGTGAGGAGAATTTAAATCCTGAGCTTAGCAATAAAATACTTTAGAAACGTATCTTTATAATATTTCCACAAGCAAAGAACCTTAACCAAGGAAGAATAACTTTTATTTCAAGGCGTGTGTGTGAGTTTAAAGCCCGAAATGGCTCTTGCTGTACATACATTTTAAACAGACTTTTCGCACTGTCTAACAATGGAGCAGAAGAGGCTATTGACCTGTGCGTCCAATGTGGTTTATGCCGTAATCTGGCTGTGTGACCTTAACCAGACTTAGCGCGTTATTCGATCCCAGTGAGGAATCGGCGAGCGAAGCCTGGGGAGAGAGGGAGGGACAGGCAGTTTTCTTTTTACCCCATCCCCACCGCGGAGCCTATTCATAGGCTAGTTTCACGCAAACTGCAGACTTTAGCGTGACTAAAAGCTTTTCAGAACTAGGAAATCAATTATTAACTTTGCCGCTGCCCGGTTTTAAGTTATACATTAACTTCTTGTTCTAAAAAACTGTAAGGATTCCATGCGCTTAGCTCACCTGCAGGATCACTTTTACAATCTAACGGTGCTCGCAGGCTCGTACAAGTGGTCAGCAGTAAGGGTTTTCCATTACAAGGTCGTCTGCAGCAGCGTTCTGGGGAGACTCTTTTGATGCACTGAAACAAGCGTTCTTCCTACCTACTGCTCTTCTTCCCAACCTGTCCAGTAAGGATGTAAACAAGTGTAAACATGGTAAATGTTAAGCTCGGTCATACTGTAGTAAGTAACTGTATTCCGTTTGTCATGAGCATGGGACAATAATTCTTGTATTTTGTATATTTGAGCTGTGGACCTAGTAGAATATAAATACACCTTTAGTTAGTAACCTTGCTTGATAAGAAGTGCAAAGAAAAGGCAACGATTTTCACACCTACCTGAAAATAAAAGCTCCAGCAAAATTTTGACAAATTCCATCGCGTCACAAAGGAAGCGAAGGTTTGTAAACAAAACAAGCTATTTTCTTTCTTTTAAAAACCTGTTTGTGTCCCACAACGTCGCTCCAGCTTTTCGAAACTGGTTTTGATAACTCCCAAGGGACCGATATCCACCCTCCTAATTGGTCAATGGCCAATTTGGTTACTCCCTTGGGGAATACACACGCATCGTGAAAATAACTAGGGGATGCCCTTCGCATCCCCTAAAAATAACCGTTGCCAGGATCATGGAATTGAGAGTTAGAAGACCTTGGCATAGCTAAAAGAGAAATGGAAAACACTCTTTGAGAAGTACAAAAAATAAAAGATAACAACAAGAGGATGTGAGACATGATAACTTTTCAAAAAAGGACTTGTTTTTAGGGTTTAGTGACAATAGCCCAAAGTTTGTATGTGAAATGGTTATTTCCAGTGAGAACGCAGAAAAAATGTGTTAATGTCATATGACATTTAATTTTGTTAATGCCACTTGTAAAAACCCAGATGTCACTCTTATCAGTGACCTTTTCACCTACGGAAAATGAAACCCTACATATATTTCCCTCAGGTGAAATAGATTTTCCCTAGCTAAAAGTCTGTAGTGTATCCACAAAAAATAACTAATATTTTGTGTCCGAGCTTGGTAAACTAGTGTATCCTATGCATGCCAGTGCAAGCACATGTTTTGGCAACATGGCATAGGCAACAGTATTATCCCTTGTCGGGAATATCTGATCTTCTTTCAAATAATATTCCGGCGTAAAATGCAGGGCTTCAAAGTGTTCAACTGCTGAAATTGGCCAAGATATTCGCTTTGTATTTGCAAGACGTAGATGTACTGTTTTGGTTGTAATATCCTCCGTTTTACGTTTTGATATTGACTTGTTTACAAGTTAACTCATTGCCGTTATCCAAAACAGTGAAATTTGATACTAGTGATTGTTTATTTATTTTCTCAACAGCCATTTACAATTGCATGGAAAGCTATATCTCTTTTGAAAGGGTAGTAAATAAACTTTCTGGAAAATATTGTTTTCCCAAAGAAAACCATAATATATTAATTAGTTAATTATTAACTAGCATAAATTAATATTAATAGCCGCAAAATTTGGACAAAAAAGCAACTTATTTCAAAATGATGACTGGTTATAAAGGAAAAGTTAAAAGCAAAAATGTTACTTGTTATATTGGCAACATATCCTGAAAATTTGGCTGAAAATGGTAAGTATAGAATAAATTAGTATTTTTTAGTTTGGTGTCAAATTCTAATTTATGCAGGAATTTGACCCCAAACATTGTGTCAACACTCCACTCGAAATTATCTCTGTCGTTCCATAAGAACGTTTTGTCCTCTCCCTTTACTGAAATATGAATCCTAACATGTATTCAAAGCATCAAACAAGGTTTTCAAATGTAAAAAGCGAATCAAAATATGATTTCAGTTGCATTTGCGATCGATCGATCGATCGATGAAATATTTCGTAACACTTATCTTGGTTCGTCGCTCAATTTTCGAGCTCCAGATGCAATTAAATTTCCTCACTGCTTGGCATCCCTTCTGGATCACTTTCCTCGTCCAAAACTCTTGTTAAAACGTCCTCAACAACGCCTGTAACGGATTGCGAACGCTTCACAAATTGCGGCCATGTGTTACATCAGAAGGCTTTTCTGAAAAAGCCGTCATATAAGACCAACTAGGGTATACCTGTTCAAACTTGCTGGGGGAATGGGTTAGACTATTCCCAGTCCACCCAGAAAAAAATGAACGAAATCGGCCAAAAGATAAAATTTTACCAATTTTTTCCCGACCCGACGTGTGAGTCGGGTGAGCCCCGTGTGATAACGGCAAAGAGTTAATGCCATTTCCAAAAGGTTACTGAGTGACACTGCTGGGGGTCCCTTACCATCACGTTGACTCAATGATCTGTGCGTGCGTGCAAATCACCGAGTCAAAAAGTGCTTTAGTGCGTGTAATCTTTAACAAAATGTGTAATGAAAAAATGTGAACAAGAGGAGGTTATATTAGTGAGACTGACGTCAAAATATATTTCAAACATGGAGAAAACAGCCATTTACAAACATGCAAAGGAATGCATGGTAAAGAAGGGTTAGGACCCCACGCAACAATCAAATGGTTGCAATAATGGTATAGTTGTCGACAACTATCTTACAAGCATTTGTTATTGAAATCTAAAGTAGTTGGCTTTTTGAAAAGTGGCCAGGCCCCTTTTATACCGGAACTTCTTGTTTAAGCCTGAAAGGGGGGTATGGGCTTATTAGAGGCTAACGAGAGGGCATGGCTAAATAGAGTAATTTCAGTAAGCCGATATTGGAAAAATGTTTAGTTTCATGTGTGCAGTACATGTATGTGAAGCGAAGCATCAATCCCATCAAAATATATCGATGCGGGGGTTCGAAGGCCTTTTGGGGGTTTGAAATCAGTAGCAATTTGAGGACTTTTGGGGGTAGAAAGATTTCAGCAGGGTCTGTAAAAGCGTCCCCCAGGGTTTTCAGTCTTTATATACCGAAACAATTGAAGGGCGTGCTGGAATAAGGGCATAACCACAATAGAATTCTATTGTGGTTATGCCCTTATTCCAGCACGCCCTTCAATTGTAT